CCCGCGCCTCCTTTGTCCTGGTCTCCCATTGCTTCCCCTCTCCAGGCGCCTCGACCGAATGCGCGACCCGAATACCCAACCTTTCACCGGACTCCATGTGGTCTCATAATAATTTCCTGGACATAAGCGACCCCCATTATACAAGCGCAGCTGTACCGCGATACGTTGGGTGCCAACAAGGACTTTTCACTGGTTGTTTTGAGGGAGGTTTGTGTTGGGCGCGATAAGGAAGTGAACCTGTCTCTCCTTTCCTCACATCTTGACGGGTTTCCTTTTTCGGTTTGTGTATTTCGCCTGTCAAAGGGGCTGTCTATAATCAAACGAGATGGAGTCCGAGAATTCGAACTCCTTCAAGCGGAACTCGATGCACCAAGCGATATACAGTCGTCCAGTGGAACGGCGTGCAAGCAAGAAGTCTTCATCTAGGGACCGACATGGTATGGTCTATCCCGACAGTTTCCGAGAAACTACCATTCGAACTGTGACTGCAGATTCGCACTCCCCCACCAACAATTCCCCTTCATCCGAACCGGAGCACCTCACGGGCGGCACCTTGTCATCATCTCGAAACACCGTGCGATCACGGCCTATAGAACCCGAACGTCGTCGGAATTTCAGCAAACACTCATCCGGGGCAGGCAAAGAAGATCCTCCGGTGGAAGCAAGGAGTCAACGGGCGCGATCACGGACAACGGCGGCAGAGGATAAACGCAACGACATCACTTCCAACACCTTTAAAGCTCGAACGCGGGTTGGTTCAATTAACACGCCCAGTTCGTCTCAACCCAAACTAACCGAAGATCCGTCTTCTTCCATCGGGTTTCCTTCCATTGAGTCCCCAAAATACAGCAGCCAGACCGTCCCTCGCCATCGACTGACCAAAGCCGCCGGTCTGGTCGCCGGGGGAGCACAAAATCAAGATTCGTTTTCCTCACCTCTTTCCGGTGCGGAAGCTACAAAAATCCTACAGTTGATGAAGACCACCTGTGGGAGAATGCATGGAATCCTATCCTTTCGAACGGCCTCGACCACTTCCTGGACATCCGGATACTGCGCTATCAATGTCGCTAATGGAAGTCTCATCTACCAAGCCAAGGGAGAGCCGGCATTGGCCAAAACACTGATCCCCGATCTACGTGGTTGTCGAGTTCGGACCTTGTGGGACTCTGAGCTCCAATGCACCTATCTGAGCGTACACACATTTACCTCTGGGCTTGGGATACAACTACGACCTCACGTGAATGAAACGTTTGATTCTTGGCTTGCAGCATTACTGTGTTGGCAACCAATTCGGCCCAAGGGAGTCCAGAACAAGATGACAAAGCCTCAAGAGGTTGTGATTGGAGACCGACGAATCCCCGAACGTCGACGCAACTCGGAAAGCACAACACAAAAGGATGCAACTATCATCAAGGTCGGCAAGATGCTTTTATGGGACAAACCGTCTGCTTCCGGTGCTATGCCGGTGTCCGGACGCCGCGTGTCCACATACAGGCAGTCGAGGGCTCTGTCTTCCTCGTGGAGGAAGGTGAGCTGTACACTACAAGAAAACGGCTTTTTTAAGCTCTTTACAGAGTCCGACGTGGCTATTTTAGCATGTGTGCAGTTATCTCAATTATCACGCTGCGCCATCCAGCAGCTGAACTCCTCAGTGTTGGATGATGAGTTTTGCATTGCCATCTATCCTCAATATGCGGCACATCCAGTACCCGATTCCAATGTGCGACCTATATACCTCGCTCTTGAAAGTCGTGTTCTATTTGAGGTATGGTTTGTGCTTCTCCGCGCATTCACAATCCCAGAGCTTTATGGACCGGTGTCTCAGGGGGATGATCCCACGAAAAAAACAGAAGCTGAAGCCACCGAACCACCGTTGACCAAAGACATGTTTCGGATTGAACGATTCTTGAGCTTGAAAATTGTGGAGGCGAAGTTGTTTCGACCTAAAGAGGAGGACACCCCTCGAAGCCGGAAGGCATCAAAATCACATGGGCAGCCTGCTCCAACCTCGAAGGTCAGCGACTACTACACGGAGGTGCTCCTAGATGGGGAAATTCGTGGCAAGACTGCTGTCAAGTATCGCACCATGAATCCTTTCTGGCGAGAAGATTTCCTCTTCACTGATCTACCGCCAGTGCTATCCCAAGCCTCTATCCTTGTCAAAACTCTGTACCCGACACAGAGGGACTGGACACTTATCGCCCACGGATCATACGTGCCCAACCAAGACGTGAGTGCTGTGAACATGCTAGATGAGATCGAAATTTCTGCAAACGATATCATCTTCGGACGGGTAGACCTGCGACTAGAAGAATTGGATGCCGGTGTAGATATCGAAAAGTGGTGGCCTATCCTGGATAACCAAGACCAGGCGATTGGCGAGATGTTCATGAGAGCCAAGATGGAGGAAACCGTCGTCTTGATGTCCGACGAGTACTCGGCGATGTCGGAACTTCTCCATTCCTTCACCAATGGCCTCACAATCAACATGGCACATGTGATGTCTTCTGAGCTAAGTCACCTGGCCGAGATGCTCCTGAACATTTACCAGGTCTCGGGGTCAACGGTTGAATGGATCTCAGCCTTGGTTGAAGACGAGATTGATGGGGTTCACAAAGAATCCACCGCCAACCGGCTGAGGTATACATCAAGGATTCATTCGAATATCACACAGGAGAATAGCCAAGAGCGCGAGGTACTCGTCAGGGACATGGGCAGGACGGCCACTGTGGAGGCTAACCTCTTGTTCCGTGGAAATTCGCTTCTAACCAAGGCCCTCGATCTTCACATGCGTCGTCTGGGTAAGCAGTATTTGGAGGAGACTATCGCAGAACGACTACGTGATATTGATGAGAGCGATCCGGATTGCGAAGTCGATCCATCTCGAGTTCCACGCCACGAGGATCTTGATCGCAACTGGCGAAACCTCACAGCTCTCACCACAAGCGTGTGGAAATCCATTGCGGGATCTGCATCGAGATGTCCGGCAGAACTGCGACGCATCTTCCGGCATGTCAGGGCGTGCGCAGACGATCGCTATGGTGACTTCCTGCGGTCTGTAACGTACAGTAGTGTTTCTGGTTTCCTGTTCCTACGCTTCTTTTGCCCGGCTATCCTGAACCCGAAGCTTTTCGGGCTTTTGAAAGGTATTGGACTATACTCGTATCTTGATTTCTCTCTTTTTGCTAACCACTTCCAGATCACCCTCGTCCTCGTGCACAGCGTACGTTGACTCTCGTTGCCAAGGCCTTGCAGGGTCTTGCCAACATGACAACATTCGGCAATAAAGAACCTTGGATGGAACCGATGAACAAATTCCTCGTCGGTCATCGCTCGGAATTCAAAGACTTTGTTGATTCGGTTTGTGCGATTCCCGCCGATCGACCAGTCCCTACCGTCACCCCCTCCTACACTACCCCTTTTCAAATCCTTGGGCGGTTGCCGCCCACATCGCGCGAGGGATTCCCTAGCCTTCCATTCCTCATTGACTATGCCCGCTCCTTCGCGAATTTGATCCAAGTCTGGCTTGATGTCTCCCCGGAACGACTCGACGAATTGACCGAACTAGACGTGAACCTTTCTAAGTTCCAGAAAGAAGCCCTTCGCCTACGGGCGCGCACTGAGGAGTGTCTCAAACGAGCCGAGCAAGCTGAGCGGCCAAGTGGAAACCTCGAGATCAAATGGGAAGCACTGGTAGATTCGATGGAACGACCCGTAACCTTCTACGACGAAAACTCAAGCAAACCCATCGCCCCAGCGCTAGACACGTCAACTGGTACTGCAGCGGTCCCAAGCAGCCATCGCAATTCGACTGGCTACTTTTCTACGCGTCCGACAGTTCCCCGCCGGTCCACTGACCGCGCCCCAGATGCCGAGGATGAGACGCCCCCAAGCTCGTCTTCGGCGAACTGGGACCAAAGCCGCATTCCATTTTCCATCCCACGTTGGTCTGACACACGAGACAGCACCGGAAGCTCGAAGAACTCCTCGACCTACTCTCTCGAGAACCCCGAGTCCTCCAAGGCACGCAGGTCCAGCATCACGAAAGACTCCTCCTCAAGCAAGTATCGCTTCTTCGACTTTGTTCCCGCTCCCTCCCGACGCAAGGCCAAGGAACGTGACCAGACTCAAAACCACTCCCACGAGGATCTACGCAATGAACCCTAATGCACCAATGTCTGCCTATGCAACCTCCTTTCATCTACACACGTTTTTGACATTTATCCCCCTCGCCTACCTCTTTTCGATGTGCTCATGATTTCAACGTTCCTCTTTTCTCCCTTTCTCTCTCCCCTTTTCCGCCCCCCTTTTTATTCAATTCTACCTTGCCTCTTCGAGTTCTGTTCTGCTTGATCATCTATGTGTCTATGTTCTCCTCTGAAGCATGTGTCATGGTGTTGATACCCATCCCTTCTTTGATCGTGTATTTCATGGTCCTGCCCTCCCTTATGCACATCTCCCTCCAGCCTAGCTCTAAGAAAAAAAAAACAACGACAACGAGAGCTGAAAGGCAAGAATCCGGAAGAAAAATAACAGAATAGGAGCTGGTTTTTGAACTCGCCTGAGGCTCTTTGTGTTTTTCCCTTTTTGGTTGTTCTGAGAAATCATATTGGGTTTGTTGTGTGTTTGGATATCCTTTGGAGATGGTGGTCATCGTGTAAATACCTTTTACTCTTTATATTCTTCCAATAGATGGAATGGATTGATGTTTTCGTTTCGTGTTTGTGACACTGTAATCAGATAGAAATACAAACATCAAATCTCATTTGCTGAATACATCTTTTACATCGGATCAGAACAAATTTGAATCATGTCGCCTCTGGTCATAACAAGACAAGACAGCCGGGGATAACCAGATCCCTAAGAGCTCTAGACAACACTTATGCTACAACACCGGGTAAGGAAGATCAAAACAAATGTCAATCAAAGCAGTTAGCAAATGAGCTGTTCAGCCACATGCTTGAAGAAACAACATATAGAGGATGAGCGTAGAAGACACATCACTTCCATAAGCAGAGCTTACCGCTAGCGGTACCACCAGCAACCCAGTTCTTGCTACGGTGGAATACAGCCACAGCAGGAACAGCGGTGATTCCATCACCGCCGAGCTGCGCAAGCTGGTCGCCACTGCTAGTGTACACATCGACAAAACGGTTCATATTGCCGATGCAAAAGCGTTGGATGGAAGATTGCGGATTAAGTTGCCATTGGGGGCGGAGACTAAGTACAGTATTAGGGCTTTGGTACCTTGGCATAACCTGACGGGACGCAAAACAAGGAGAGAGGGGGACAATTCATACATAGTCACCCAGCGGCCAGTCTGGCAGTTGTGTCGGACCACTGTGTCTGGAGTAAACTCCTTCTCTGAAAGCCTGTGGCCTTGTTTCCACGAAGAGAACCCTTTGGCACCCACGTCGTATATCTTCAATGTATCGTCGTAGGAAGAAGTAGCAATTTGTCCAGCCGCATTGAAAGCTGCATGGGAAACCGAGAGCCGGCTTTCATGCTCGGCAACAGGAGTTGGAGTGTCAGGTGACAACTTGCGCAGATCCCATAATCTCAGGAATCGATCCAGACTTGCCGTGGCGAAGTAGTAGGACTGGGAGGGACACAGTGTGAAGCCCCCGATCTTCTTCTCCGATAGATCCCAGCTTGACACATTATTATCTTCCCGTGGAGTGCGCGTATCATATCGCCCGAATCCACCTTGAAGTGTAGTCCAGTACAAGGTATTAGGATCATCGGGGGCCATATCAACTCCGGAAAGGGCCTCATCGATATTCGTCGACTCGGGAGCATAGGTCTCTGAAGAGACCATTTTCTCCAAGTCCAGCGATCGAATAGAGCTATCATAGCTTGCCGTGTACAAATGTGTTGGCTTTGAGGGATTAACCATCATTGCGCTGATGGTCCGGGTATGGGGTTTGAGTGTCGTGAGGACTGGATCTGGGTCGTCCTCATCTTCGTCGTCGTCTTCGTCCGCTGTGGGCTTTTCCTGCGAAGCATCCAACATACCCAGATGACCCAATTTGTCGCCCGCGAATATAAGAGGTTTGGATTCGGACGGGTGGAACACCATGCTATAGACACGTTCGGGGGTGATCTTGATCCCTGTTATGATCAAAATTGCGTCAGAATAGTAGCTTGTTGACAGAGAGAGAATAGTTCTTACGCTGAGGATCCCAAGATTCCCACAATTGAAGCCCATTCATCTCCTCCCGAAGAGTCTTCAGTTCTTTGTCTGTCGTCTTCTCGATTTCGTCGTCCCCGAAAGTCCTTTCATAGGGCTTTGCAACACCCTTGGTGATGACATCCACGCTGATCAGGCTATCTGCACTAAGCTTTTGGCCCGACACAAACATGTCCGCCTGACTGAACGAGTCTGTCCGGCGCATCCTCTTGATTCTATCCGCTTCGCGCATCGCCTCATACTCATCGTCGGCCTTGCGCTTCGCTACTTCACTTTCGGCCGCAATGCCTTTGAGGCGCGACGATGTCCGTCGAGGTGTGGTCACTTCCTCGACCTTCACTTTAGCTTTAGGAGCCGGGCGCTTTTTCGGCTTTGCGCCATTGGTGCCCGGAGTCTTAGGGCTTGCAAAGAGCCCGGAAGATTGCGATTCGAGGGTAAGTTTCTTTAACAGCGCATCACGCTCAGCAATGTTTGCCAAACGCTGCTTTTCAAAGTCCGACAATTCAGTTTTCCCTGGCATGTTGATATCCGGGGTTTCGGGCGTACTGGATTCGTATGCAGTTTGCGCCTCGGGGGTGCGAGGCACGTCCGCGGCGAAACGCGAGGGCCCGTTACACGACATCATGTGACTATGCGGAAAGTTGATCGCCAATTAGTCCGTGCTTGTTCAAAAAAAAAAAAGAAAAGAGAGAGAGAGAGTAGTTTCGTTGTTTCTTTATTTTTTGATGTTGCAAAGTTTGAAAGGGTGGAAGAGAAGAGGAAGATCTACTTCAGGTTGAATTTACTCTGAGAAGTGCGCGAACAAGGCTGCACAAGTGCAAACTTAACGACTCAGCCATGGCGACAAATATCAACCGGCTATGCTTCCTTTCAAGAAGCAATTCTACGGCTCCTTTCTTATATAACACTCGCACGCTTACTCCACTCTCATCTGCTGCCCGAAAACAATTCAATCGTCGCTTTCCGCGCTCTTTTTCTACCCAGAACAATACCGAGGCAACTGTTGCGACGGAGAACAAATCATTAGCGGAGGATAACACAAGTCAGAACACTTCTGAACAGTCAGCTGCCTCCACCCCGACGAGCGAGACAGCTCCGAAACCGCGGCGAAGCTATCTGCAGAAACGAGCAGCATCTGTATCCGAAAGGCCCAGCCTCAGACCGTCTGTGGCGAAGAAGACCACGAAGATACCACCGAAGATCACAACCCAAGAGAAATTGATATTTGGAGGGCTCTTAGAGCAGCTTGGCTTCAAACACGATGGGGAAACAACCGAGTCAAGCTCGTTGAAACCAATGAGTGAGGAGAAGAAGGCCGAAATGGCCGAGCTCATGTCGGTGTTCGATAATCTACTAAAAGACCCAAGGGCAAAGAAGGCGGCTTTGAAAGCCAAGCAGCAAGCGAGGGACGACTATTCGCCCTATCGAAGATCAGAGAAATCGGAAACGGAAGAACCAATCCCAGCGGAGAACCAAGGTCCAAAGCGAATCAACCTCCGTGATCTGGGCTATTCCGAGCCCGCCACAGCCAGCGCTGCCGAGGTAACCGTCAGCCTGCGGCGGGCGATTGAGATCGTTGTCAAGGCGGAATCAGAGCACATTGAATTCGCACTCTTCCAAGCCATCGAGGATGGCAAAGGCGACATGGGAGTGTGGGAGGTATGCAAAGAGCGCATCTTCTCCATGTTGCGCCACCTAGACGAGAAGTCTCTCGTGGAGGCTTCAGACCCCGAAAGTGCGAGCACAACAGACCGCCTTGAACCACCCTCTCAGCCATCAGGACTCCTCCGAGTCCCAGCCGTCGTCCCGGTCGCCCCAGTCGTGGTAGCTCTATACCCGAAGGTTCTCCTAATCTCCTTCCGCCTGCTGAACACTCACTTCCGTGAATCCCCACTCATCCCCCAATTCCGCTCGACTATCAAAGAGTACGGCCGGATCTCTGCTTTCCTCGGTGCTTCATCCGGGCTGTACGATGAATTGATCCGCTACCACTGGCGAGTATGCAAGGATCTCCCCGCTGTGGTATCCATCCTGCGCGAGATGAACCAGCTGGGCATCAACCCCAGTAGCAAGTCTCGCGGCATGCTAACCGGACTTATCATTCGCCAAGCCCGGGACTTGGAGACTCATCGGAAATCCCCGGACGGGAAGGATTTCTTCTGGGACATGCCGTCTAATAAGGAGGCATTCGATGAGCTTACTCGGAGGGATGGGTGGATGGATCAGATCGAGGCGCGCTCAGAGGAAGAGGCGAGGCAACGCCAAGCTACTCGGACTTTCCGCCGTTGAGCTCTTGTCTCTTTTGGACAGGAGGCCTTTGAAATGTACAGTCTAGACAATTATGTATAATAGTATCATCAAACACGCGATGTGTCAAACTTCTTGTGAATACCTGTCTTTTTTGACTGTCATTGATGTTATTTCAAGAGTAGTCTATGTACATGAACGATTGTATCGATCCCCCTCAAGGAGCAAAAGCCTGCATTGGAGGTCTAAGTCTCTCTACAAACCCCCGTGAATCCCCCAAAACTTTTCCGCATTGAAGGTGTACATGTTGTCATCCTTCCACAAATCATCAAAAGCAGTAAAGAGCACCAAATCCTCTCTGCGGTGGTCAAAACTCTTTTTCAAACTCGCAATAGCTGCCTGCTGGTTATCCGCCGAAGGAATAGCACCCCCATTCGCATCCCCAGCATGCGGCCAGCCGGACTCCGTGATCATGGTACGCTTGCCGCCCGCTCTGGCAGAGATGCTACGCGCCTGCTCTAGGGCATAAGCGCCGGCTCCAGCAGGCTGCTGAGTCGCATCGAAGAAAGCATGGCAGTTCGCGGCACAGTAGTCGGAGACATGGCAGAGTTCGGGGTGGTTGAGGTGGACAGAGAAAGTATCGACTGTGACGATGGGACCTGTGTAGCCCTGTGCGCGGAGCACGGAGCGTGCTTTTTGCACGGCGGTCGCGACGTCGGCAGCGGAGTTGGTACCGCCGTTAACGAGCTCGTTGCCGATGGCGATCGTATGGAAAATTGACCAGTCTATTTTGCCATCGGGGTTTGTTACTGACTCCCCGAAGGTATCGAGGCTTTTTGGGAAGTCGGTTAGGTCGTAGATGCCGGCGAAGACAAGCATGTTGTGTCGTCGTGCGGCGTTCGTTACGGTTCTTGTTTGGTCGCAGTCTGTGCCATAGATGCGGATGAAGGAGTATTGAGAGATTCGGTCTAAGTCGTCGTTCACTTCTTCTTGGTTCTTGCAGGTCCTGTCTGCTTTGTAGGGGGAGTAGGAGATACCAAATTGGGAATGTGGGTGCTGGTCAGAATGGGAATGAGGAGCAGGCGGTTTGGAGTGTGTGTTAGGGTGTTGGAGCTCTTTTGGTTTATATGGAGCCGGGTTCGAGTGGCCGTTCACGTCGTTGTTGTTCTTAGATGGTGCATATGGTGGTGCTATGGAGGGGACATTCAGGTCTGGGATTGGTGTTGGGGGTTTCTTGGATGGGAGAGTTAGAGCTGGCTCTTTCAAGAGGAACCAACGTTTCTCCTCTTCATCGGGAAGAGTTCTATGTACTAACATGCTCTTGTTGTGCAGAGCCCAGGCCCTGAGCATAGTGTGTTTCCGTGCTGATGTGCTCTCCCTTTTCATTGACCCAGACGACTACCTCTTTTGCAGATGGTGGTAAAGGTGGTTGGGCGACATCACCGCGGGATTGTCTCTCCACTATCGCCAATCAGCAAAATCCCATAGAAGCATGAGCGTATATGAACAATCATATGCTCTTACCCCCAGCTTCAGCGCAAGCAAAACATGCAAGTACCAGGCCGACAAGCGCCTGAGTAAGGTGCTTCATTTTGCAGCTCAGTCCTCCCTAGAAGAGCTGATCTGTGAACACTAGGGTGAGATGATCCGAACTTAGTCTCTAGACTTGGTCAACAACGATCTCAACAAGAGTGACTTTGAAACTACGAAAAGGGGGCCTCAGCGAGAGTGTGCCGATCGGACCCATTATATTCATGCCCTCTGAATTCCTCCTGCATGGACTTGATCAGTAGAGCGCGTAAACATGAGGATGACCAAGCATAGCGTAGCGTCTCGATCTGGGAGGATGTGTGGAATGGAACCAGAGAGCTTCTAAGTTTTCAGCATGCCCCTTGACTTGGGTAGTACCTCTTTGGCATCTGATTTGCTCGATAAAGAGATCTAGTGTCGGGCCATCTCAAATGAGATGTCGATGTCGGGGAAAGACCGAGAATGCTTCTGAGGATGGAGTAGATGGAATGCGGGGCCCATTCCCAGCGGTCTCTTGGAGACACAGGGGGGTTTCTGTGAATGTGAGGCAGAATTCTGGCGAGAAGTTATCCGATATTGTTGAGAGACATTAGAAGGGGCTCCGAGGAACGGGCATGTCTGGAATTAAAATCTGACCCCAAGATGTTGGGCTTCTGGCCTGCTGGTGAGGTCCAGGATCATCGAGTTGACGGCAAAGGGCTGGGCACGTGGACTTTGGGATTTAGTTAACATCTGGCATATAAACGCTTCAAACTTGTGGACGTCGGTATTACTTAAGTGTGAGAGATATAGAAAAATCAGAGAGAATATTAGCAACAGGGTCCATTCCTGGAATACAAAGGTGTTTCAGGTGTGAATAATGTATGGAAAAATAGACACATTCTTGAAGAAAAGAGCCAAGGCTAGAGGGATATTATTAAACAGCTTAAAGCCATGCACAGGTAGAGAATCATGCCGCCAACGAGGAAAGAATAGAGGGCGGGCGTGTGCAAGGTATGCAACAAGGATGCACGGCGACAAGGTAACAATACAAGTATTGAAGGGGCATTAGGGCGTAGGTCGACTGAGAAGAATGGAAAGACGATAGATGCCGAAGTCATGGGCGTAAGCAGTCATAGGATTCTCTGGTCGGGGCCAGAAGCTAAGAGACAAGGGCATTACTTCCTCTTGCTCATCACCTTGGTAATGGCATGTCGAATAATTGTGCCTGCCTTTTCGGTCTCTTTCTTGGTAAGACCGGTAGTGACGCACACCTTCAGTGCTGGAGGGATAACCTGCTTAGGCTCGAAGTTGTCATCGAGGGTCTTCAGTCGTGTGATAAGGACACCGTTGGCGAGAGACTGGGAGATGATTAAAAACGGACGTTAAGAGAGTTAAAGGGAAGAAAGTGTAATACAAACCTCATCAACGACATCTTGAAGCAAAAACTGCTGGTCGTCTGATGTAAGTCGCTTGGCAGCGACAACCTCAGGCTTGATAATCAGGATCAGGATGGGGTTTTCAGGGGAACTGGTGCAGTAAACCCAGTCACTCCGAGGATCCAACTGAGCCCGCATGGCCTTGGTGAGTTCCCGAAGTTGTGACACTGTCTCAGGGTTGTTCTGAAGGATGTTGATAGTGGCACTGGCGGTGGTCGAGAGCAAAGCGGGAAGCGCGGCGGAGAAAGTGTAAGCAGCAGCCGAAATACGCTGGTGGTGAACGATCTCCTCTGAACCGGCACAGAAGCCACCGCCAGCGACAAGAGGACCAGCCAGTGACCCCACAATCATATCAACCTCAGCAGCATCGACGTTCTGATGCTCCGTGATACCACGGCCAGTGCGTCCCAAAACACCGAAGGACCAGGTTTCGTCAAGGATCAGGCGGAACTTGTACTTGAGTCTGAGTTCGATCTGCAGCAGTTATAAGTACGAGGGAATTCACAGTTCAACTTGACAGGGTCACATACGATCTTGGGCAAGTCCGCCATATCGCCATAAGACTCAAAAAGACCCTCTGTGATAATAAATCTGCGAGTCAAGGGCTTCCGGGCTTGCTCCTTGGTGACCTTCGCGAGCACTCGCTCCAGATCTTCCATGTCATTATGCTCATACCACCGGACAATGCTACGAGAGATCTGGATACCCTTGCGAATCGCAAAGCTAACTCCCTTGTCCGCGACGATGATGTCACCGCGCTTCGAGAAGGCAGGAATAACACTAGAAATAGTCGAGAAGGCTTGGGAGTAGATGATGCAAGCTGCGGTCCCCAGGAACGACGCCACATCGTCTTCTGTCTTCATGTGAACATCCTGTGTGCCGTAAAATCCACGGGGTCCGCAGGGACCAACACCATAAGCGCGGAGTGTCTGGATTGCCTGTTCCTTGAGGGACTCGTTGGTGTTGAAGTTGTAAAAGTTCAAGGAGCCAAGGTTCATAACAGTGCGGCCGTTGGTCAATTTCGATTTTGGGCTGACGGGGCTGCAGATCACAATCTCTTCGGTCAGTGAATTGTCCGCGGAGCACGACAAGCAAAAGGAAAGGGAACCGAAGGGTTCCATACCCAACAATCACAGTTCGCTTATCAACTTCCATCTGTTCCAATGTTGTGGGATTCCCGACGAGGGGTTCAGGGGTCCATTCATCAACGAGGTCATCAATCTCGTCTTCTGTGAGTGGTACGACGCCAGGTTTGGTCGAATATTTGGGCGCTAGGAGATATCGTACGGCGAAGAGGAAGAGGAAAAGTTCGACAGCAGAACGAATTGGGTCATCTTGATAGCTTGATTTCACGTAGCGGAGGAAGATTGCGGAGCCAGGCACACGGTGAAATAAGTCTGCGAGTTCGTGCAGATATTCGGAAAGGATACGCTGGGTCTCCTGGAGATCCATGACGTTGAGTTGAAGAGAGCGCAAGTATAGGGGTGCGCCAGTCTAGTGAAGATACCAGTAGGTTAAACAAGGGTGCGAAAGATAGGTGCTTGCTCAGGGAGCAGGGGGCGAAAATGAAGCGGGAGGCTCGGAGTCCTGGGAACCTCTATGCCACGTGACCTGTATCTATATGTGCTTAGGTCAATGTGATTTTAAATTCGAGCACTACTACTGGGGTTTAATCAAAGAGTTTTTCTCGAAAGCAATGCAATTTAATTCCGATAGAAGTGTTGAAAACAGAACAAGCGAAGAAAGCTGGCAAAACGAAGGTGAGCCCCCGGGGATGACTCTGGAAGACCCCTTCGGACAAGGGTCATCCTACAGACGATGGTTGGAAGCAACAATTCAACAACGATCGAATTGTGCGCCGGTGAATTCGAAAAAATGCAGCGATTTTTAAAAGACGCGTTACTTTGTACAAAGCATTTCCATGTCATTTCGCCGCAGCAATTAGATGGACCAAACTCCAGTGCCCTCAAAGGCTGCCGGGATTGTGCCTGAGGTGTAGCCTTTGGGGATGTTAGAGCCGGTATACCAGGAGACAGTGTCATTAAGTCCACGATCAAGTGGCTGCAGGAGTCCGATTCCTGTTGTGCTGGCGACACCGAGGCTCTTCCAGATGCCACCCTCCAGGATGCTGTCCAGTTGATTTGTGTTCCGCAGGACAACGGGAGCAGCAATAATGACGACAAAGATAAGTAGCAAGGTAAAGTAGAGAATGGCAAAGCGGACAACACGTCTCTTACGAAGCTTGGACTGCTTGAGGGAATAGATGGGAGGGCGGATTTGAGAGCTAGAGGCAAATCTAGTGAGTGCGGGGTTCTTGTGATTCAAAGACGAAGAGATACGTACCTTGGTCGCAACCAGAACAGGAGGACGGAATGGAAGGTGTCAATGTAGGGAATAGCAAGGAGCGGAAGCATAGCAAACAGGAGAATGTGGCCCAGGAAGAAATCAGTGGCGAAATAACCAAGTTCAGTGATCTTGCACAGGAATTCACGTCCAGGCTGAGAGAAGGAGTGCCAACCCATATTGTACCATTTTCCGGTCCACCAGGCAATGTTAGACTGGTCGTTCTTGAATTCACGCGTCAGGGCTAAGGAAATGATAAGCTTGTAGATGAAGCGCTGAAGAGTCATCGCAGCGATCATTCCGGAGATAGTTCTAGCCCAGCTGAGAGATTCAAGGAAGAACATGGCCAGGAATAGAAGGAGGAAAACAATCACAGCAATGGCATGGGCGATGGCAGCGAGAACAGCGCCGAACTTCTTGCAGCACATACCAAATACCGGGCCCATACAACAAGCCAGGCCGAAGAACATGCCGGCAACACCGGCATTGACACCCACAGGGGCAAGACCCACAATCGCAACGCGAAGGATGGGATTCGCAGCCCATTTGTTATCATCGGAGTACATTGTGCGGGAGTTGATGTACAGATACGGAATCAGGGTAACGGCAACACCGATCAGAGGCCCAACGATTTCGCTGAAAAAGATGTTACTTAGACGCGCTTTTGGAATATCACCGCAGCCTTTCTCCGATGGAACACCAATAAGTTTTCGCTTGTAACCAGTAGTCCGGGTACGAGAAAGGCGACAGAAACCAATCCAAGAGGAAGCATGGGATCGGGAGTTGCCACGAGAAAGCCAGCGGATGTAGTCACGGTAATCAATGAAGAAGTCATTCCAGGAAAATTGGTGGGGGTTGAATAGGAAAGGCGAGATGGATAGTGCGAGCAGAGAAACCCAGAACCAGATCAGAGCAGGAGTCCAGACAGTAGTGGTACTGAACAATAGCATCAGCAGGAGGCGAGCACCCAAGTAGATTGAAGGGCTAGCAAATCGAGAGTAGAGGACACCGAATGGAATACGAGCTGTTGCGAAACCACGGCCGGTACCAATGTATCGCGCGCCTCCGAAAGACAAGTTCTGGTGGACGGCATTGGAGTATATCTGACAAACGAAGACCTCAAACATGAACGAGAACGAACCAAAGTGCTTGGCCAAACGAGTGGCCATACGCCACACTCCTCTCTCTGTCAATTCTTGGACCGCTAGTGGAACGAATGAGATCCAAAAAACAATGAAGATGGAGATGACACAGCGGTTAACCCAGTTGATAATAGGGATCAGGTTGACGCAGAGCGTAGGGACGAGGGGATCGGTAATGGGCAAGTCGGGGTTGTAGCGGCAGGTAATAGTCTCATGCTTCAAGGCACCGAGGTTAATCAGGACAACCATGAACATTTGCACAGAAACCATGATGAACATATTGTTCAGATGGAAACCAGGGTGAGCATAGTAGAAAGAGAGGAAGCGATCGAGAGGCAGTTGGGTACCGAGGTAATAGTACTCTCGGGACAGCATCTGTTCACCCATACCGGTACCAATCTTCGTGGTGAAGTTAAGAATGGATCCGAAACCGAGATCACGACCCTTACCGCACTGATAGTATTCACAATGCTTGATTCGACCTCCACGGAGGAGGGCATTCATACCGATGTAGATATCCTCGTTCAAATGCAATCCTTTCTGAGCTTTGGAAACACCACCACGGGTGCACATGAAAGTAGCGTTCAAAAAATCAGGGTGACCATAGTGCAGCTTGCCACCGATTTGAGCAAGTGTGCGGGCGAATAGGGTACCGAATGTTTGTTCCTTGGAGGCAGCGACATCACCCAGGACACCGACACTCTCAGAGAAAATGTATTCACGGGCTCCCAAGATGGCAACGGGATCCTGGTCAGGCAGGGCAGCTCCAGGGGCGTATGGGGAAACATTGTCTGTGCTCAATTCCTCGAACTCGGCAAGCACACTGCGAATCTTCAAACATTCTTCAAGGTAGTTGTCTTGATTGGCGTCAACGAGCTGGATGTATTCACCACGGTAGAAGATAATGGAATGGTTCTGATTGTCAGACTTGCCATCTCCGAGAATTGGGTTTCCAGAGAGCTGAACTCTGAACTTTGGCTTCCGCAAGTTATTCTCGAGTAGTTCACAGTGACCGTCGATCAAGGCGGAGTACAGACGGGGTTCGTCACCTTCATTGACAGGTGGCTCCTCATCCAGGTAGGCAATCTGCAAGTCAGGGTAGGCGCGGAGCAAAAATTCGGTGTTCTCACGTTCGTCCTTGCTGAATTTGGCATAGCGCTGCATGGAAACACAGATACGGAACTTGCGGCGAGCCATTCGCTCAAGTTCACGCTCAAGCTTCTCGGAGTTGCCACCGAACATCTGAACAACTTCGGGATTCTCCACGCGGTAGAGCAGCTTGATAGCACGGCTGTAGTTCATGAAACCGGAGATCGTCCTGTACAAGGTCTGGGATCGAAGGGAGGACCAGATTCTTGTGCGGAGAGTGTACTCGGGAGCGGCAGACTTGAAACCAATGCAGTAGAAAGGAAGATCATCGACCTTGCTCTTGGCAGCGTCTTTCTCGGGCTTTTCATAATCACCATTGAATTGCGAAGTCTCGTCGGCCAGAATCTTGGTGTCCTTGACGAAGCAATCCCACTCGTGGGGATGAAGTTGCTTTAAGTATTCTAGCAAAGTAACCCGCGAATAAGGCTCATCTTCGCGGATAATCTCACGAAGCGAAAGTAGAATTTTCTCACTGTAGTGAGGGATCAAAACAGTGAAGGTAGGCATGTTATCAACAGGGAGAGGCTCGGGCATGGGTGTAGAGAGCGATTGCGCGAAGAACGAGATGCGGCGCTCAGCCTCACTTCCCTGGGGAAAGAACTCGGTCTTGAAAGATTGATCTTCTTGTGACACAAAGAACGTAGGGGCGCGAAGCGTGCGCTTGCCTTCCTGCTCGGAGGGAACCTGGTGGTACAACAGCTTCTGCACGTGGTCGATTGCCAGGAGATGCTCACGGTACATGGAGATGATGATGGCGTTCCAAACCTGCGAGATCAGGACCTTAGGCTTGTACTTGATCTCCATATCAGTAGTGGCGAGAACCTTGGAGTAGATTCGCTTCGGAAGTCGGGAGAAGATGTTCCTCCATGGCGACCAAATCGAGACACCCAAGTAGAATGATCGAGCAACAGAGAAGATTGCGTTGCAAATAATGTACCAGAGGTAACTATCCAGGAAGAAGAGCGTCAAGTCCATGAAGGCCATCAAGCCCAGCAGGATCTGAGGTTGTCGGTGGCAAAGCGTGTTGCCAATGTATTTCGCACCTGTACACTGATGGATCTGCATTGGGGATAGAATGCGGATGGGATCCTTGAAAGACAGCGTCAAGAAGAAGTAGGATTCTGACAACTTGGCACCAAACACACAGACCCATAGGCCATACGACATCCACATATCGTTACCGGAAAGACGAGAGAAACTAGCCGTGAAGGTCTGACTGGCCACATATTGCCGTCCACCTTTATTCAGGTAGCTTCCAAAGAGCGCGCCCAGAGGCTGAATTGCAAAGAACGCAGTAGTCAGGATTGCAAGTACAAAGTGCACAATCCCCAGAGCGAGACCGATGCCATGTTTGGTTGAGTCTGACATTGTCAACCCCGGCAAGATGCTGAATATCACAATTCCGGGAGCCAAGTTGATTATGAATACGAATACAAGGAACATGAAGCGCTTGCGGAGATGCTGTGCTCCCGCCCACCGACGGGGAACGTAGGCCCATTCAAAAATGGTGGCTAAAATCTGAATGAGGGAGACAAGCGCGCCACCGAAACCGACAGCGGCGAGGTATTTCGGCGTCTCTGGTTTATTATCAACCTGCTGCTGGTAATTAATGGTGTATAGAGTCGGAGCGTTGTAAGCAGTAAAGAACCAGAAAGCACCCAGGTGGATAACCCAGATACGGTTGAAGTTCGTGATCATGTGAAACCAGGAGCGAGTTTCCTTGTACGTCTTGAAGAAGGCCTTCTTCCAGACTACATCCTTCAATTTGGGCCATCTCTGAGAGATGGGAAGGTCGACCAGACGGGTTTTATCTTCGAACCCGATGCGCTCAATACCTTCTGGGTACCAGAAGAGCTGGTTCATGTCATCATAACCAATGATCTTGTTGTGGTCAACCTCACGACGAACGTATTTGCCATCCACGATTTCGTATCCCTGATCCCGACAGTACTGGTACAGCGGAGTGATGATCTCATTGAGGTAGGTGAATTCCTCCACCGGCTCAACGCGAGCCTGACATTCCGGTGAGGTGTAGTAATCGTCGGCACACTTGAAGATGAAACAAACGCATTCGGGCAGGAATCGGACCTGGTTGGCCTCACCCCAGATTAAGAGATACAAGGCAATTTGACGGGCACGGTCGTGCTGGGACATGCGGTTCATGCGAGATTTCCATCGGTATTCAGCTGCCTCCAAGCTGTTGTCTCCCTCCAAAGCCTCCAGTGTTTCCTCTTCGTTCTCGGGGTTCTGTTTGGCGGCCTTGGCTGCGGCCCTGCGGGCCTTCCGCGTCTTGCGATCGCCCTTACCGAGCTTCACGTTGGCGAAACCTACTGCATCATCGAGATCGAGATGAGCAGCAAAATACCACCGTCGGTAATTAGCGTTGTGGCCACCGATATAGTCGGCATGAATGGAGAGGAGCGCCTGGTTGGGTGTCATACGCGAAGCACGAGAGTCCAACAAAGTCATCATGTGGTCATACATGTTTCGCATGCTGTCTCGCTGGAAGCCAAACTTGTTGACCAAATCTAGGAAGATGTCCTCTACCTCCTCCTTTGAGAGAGGGATCTGTGCTTCGGAGCTCCAGGCAGGATACGGCTCACGCGAGCGCTGGCTCGTGGGAAGGGTGTTGCTGAACTCTGCTCCGTAGACAGGAGTCGAAGCACCAGACGACCGGTTACCTCCGTAGGAGATTTGGGACGAGGGAGGACGGTAGCCACCAGCACCGCCATACTGGCTGTCTGAGTAGCTGTTGTACCGTTCATCTCCTCGGCCATAGTAGTCCATGTCCGCGGCTCGAGCAGTCTCGGACTTCATTGTGAAGTCGCTGAAGGTCTCAGAATCCTCCTCGGAATCATTGCCACGGCGGCCTCGCGGTTGTCCTTGTGCCTGGTCGTAGTACTGGTCTTGGTTTCCGCCTTCGTAATACCCTCCATCGGCGTACCCTTGGCCTGCATCGGCGTGGGGTGCGCCGTCTGCATGGGCAGCGTCGCCGCCGTGACCACCCTCCGCTCCGTAGTAGCCATTACTGTCCTCCCTGTTAGCATTTCCATCTCTCAACCTTCATTTTGACCGGAACGCATACCCTTGGTCATAATAACCATCGCCGTATCCTTGGTTATCATAATAACCCTGGGCATGTTCGTCCTGGTAGTAGGAGTCACCATGAGTCTGACCGTGTGCCTGCCCCTGCTGGGCAAAGCCATCGTCAAAGTGACCTCCGCCTGCGTAGCCCGACATGACGAGCGAGTCGCGATGGATTCAGTGTTGAGAGTTCTGCGGGGGATTGATTAGCTCCAGATGACCAAGGTTCACTGATGCTGAAAATCGCCTCCAGTCAATCTCACCTCAACCGTGACCATACAAAGTATAAGTTTTATTCGGGATGTCGAATTAATACAGCATAGACGTCGAAAGATGAAAGCAAGATGCGCAGCAAAAAAATGCGTTATCTTGAGAACCCAAGTGAAGGTGTCGAACGAGTCTCAGACTCCGTAACGAATGGCAAGTGAGGGTGTACCTCACGAAAAGGAAGGTGCAATGGGAATTTTCTAAGAGCAATACAGCTTTCCTCCTATGTCCTTCTTTCGTTAAAAAAAAGAAAGAACACGAAAGGTAGCAAATAGAAGGAAAGATGGAGACAAAAAGCGAATGGAAGGGGGTTGGAGAGGGAAGTCAAGAAAATGCTTGTTATTTTTGGGATTCGGGGGGGACTGGCTCTGTTCTCTGGAGAGTAATTTACCGTCATCTTACACTCATCAAGGGTACGTGTCCGACTTCCAGGTACTGAATACCTCTTCCCAGCACAGTAAGCCCCTATCTTTCCTACGTACTGATTACCACCCCTTTGTTTACCATACGTGGCGCATCAAGTTTAGCCCATTGACTTCCCTCCCGGCCTTGTATTCTCTGCAAACGCCTCCAGAGTCTGTCTCTCCCTGATCGCCCATTTTGGAATTTACCGTTATTGTCCGACTGTATTTACGCTTGTATCTTCCCTCCCGATCACTACGTTTTATTTTCCCCCCCCCTCTCTTCTTTTCCATCCAATGACAGTCTCCCGCGGACACTCGGAATCCAAGGGAGTCTCGACGGCCCCTGAAACTTGCCCCACTACAACCAGCCAGCATGTAATCAGGTAACAAATAATGTGGCCAGAGGCTATTTTCAGAGATACCTATGGAACCTGCGGTTCCAAAGATGGTTGTTGATTTGACGGCGTTATGGCGACCACTTGGTATGTAGGGATGGCGTTGCACCGGTAATGATTTCCATTCCATCTGTGAAAATAGCATACATTTCTAGCCTACGCTCTCACAATTCGAGGTTTCTTATACTTGCATGATTTTATGGATATAGTGTGTGTGGGCTTATCTGCCTATGTGGCGAGTCGGTGTCTCTAATTACCAATGGAATATGTGACGAGTATCAACCCATGAAAACATTGAAATCATTCAAATTTGAACCAAATGATAGTCTACATTCCTGTACATATGTACTCTGTCCTCCGTCCCTACACTTTTCTTCAATATGATTCGCCGGTTAAAATAAAATAAGCGATCTACTCGCGTTCAGACCCATGGACGATTGGTCATCGACCGGTGTTCCATGGCTCCCAAGCGATAAGAACCACGTCTTTGTTTTTTCACTCTCTCTACGGAGTAGGGATGTTCTTGATAAATTGTTTAATCTTCACGATCTTCAAGTCTGGTTACTCCTTTCATCGTAGTCTTAATCACTTACTTTTTTTTTTTTTTTTTAGTGTTTTCTTGTTTGAGCGGCTGATTTGCCACCATATTACAAGTGTCTCAAATGTACTCCGTACTCCGTAAGTTGTAGTCGATCAGTTCCAAGTGTATTACATTTTGACTTTCCACTGCCGGTGATTCTCACTGTGGCTGGCAAGCCCTCCATCCATGTCCATGTACGGAGGACGGAGTATACCGTAGTGGATGGGTATCATACAGTGGACATTGTCCCATGAGAAACCCTGAAAGTGCGGTCCTTTCTAGGCTTGTTTGGTCTTCCACGGCCACAAGCTGACCTCGGGAACTCGCTGTTATGTATCGAAAACTCCATCGTCATGGTCTATCTCTTGGGTGTCTCTGGATTCTATCTAATTGCGATCGTTATTCAGAGCTTCGCCTCGCACAAGGATTTATTCTGAGTGAAATCATCCATTACACCACATCAACTTTGACCACAGTTTAAATTTTCAAGACAACTTGACCTGTGTCTGGAGGTATTTGAATACACCAGTTAATACTGTATATACAATACAAACAGAGCTAGTAACTAGGTATTTGAAAATGATCTCCACCGTTAGACGCAATTTCATCTTGTCCACAATCCAAGTGGATCACCGATTGCTTTTTCTTGATTCTTTCGGAGAGCCTCGACCAAAAGGCCTGCCGATGTTGTACAGTATTGTTAATACGGAGTAGTCAAGCCACCAGGACCAAAGACGGTGCTGATGAGGTATGCAGTGGCACCTTGAAGCTGTTACATATATATCTATGTACTTGCATCGCAGTAGCAGTATTCGTCTGCAATAGAGGACTTACTTCTTGTCCACCCTCATGCCGGTATATGCAGAATTGCGCAGGAACGACACATCAGCTGCATCAACGAAACTGATCTTGTAACATCTGATCTTCGTTTTCCCCTGTGAATTTTCGTTCTCTAGTTCACCTTACTCCCTATTGAGGGCCTTATTGGCACTATCAGTCACCGGTTGGCATCTTAAGAGGCCGAAAGCGATTTTATATTGCACTATGTACAAAGTAATGCAATGTACCAAAAATAACCTGTCGACAGAGAAATTAGTCTGAAAGGGTCTAGTCAGCGATCACTAGCCGGCAGGCGTGCCCTAGTGTCGCACATTGATTGTACGATGGCTGCGTATTGACCCGCCACCTTTGAATACTGCGTACACGAGCACAACCTCCGTAAAATGTGGCTAAAGATCAAGCAAAAATGGTCATAATTATTAATGAACACGGCATACCGCTTCGATTTATGAGAAAATGGCTTGCTTACACGGAAGGCGCTGGCATCGATGGCTGGCATTAGTGTTTCTAGAACCCTGTACAGGCTCTTCCATGATTATTTTTGGGTTCTAGCCCCTGAACAGAACATTTTACTCCGTCTATCCAGCAAGAGCACCGGCTCCCCACGGAAGGATTTCAATCTCCAGCTTACTATTGATTATTAAGGTGCGTCTACTGATTACATATGCATTCAATATACTCCGTCCGGAGTACGGAGTACCTGGCCCCTCCACCGCCTATCCGCGCCATGAGTCGAACCCAATCACAACCCCTATTTTTGAGGTCATGGTGGTATCCGTATCTAGCGCACTGAAAAGGTCTGGGTGGTGATGAGAATCTCGGGTTGAAAAGGGTTGCCGCACTATATGATTTCCTCCCGATTTCTACATCATACATCTACAACCCTACCGATGTACAGAGCATTTGAATCGGTACAACACATAAACGTATCATCTGCGTCAGTTGAAGACCACTGGGTCAGACACGCAATCGCAGTTACTGCCATTTCACATAGCCAGCTCTATACTGACATACCCTATATGCTGCCCCTTGTGCGGAGTAAAGACGACATATATATATCCTTCAACTTCCGTCGGTGGGGCTTAGCGAAGGCCTCACAACAAAAGGGACGCTTCGAAACTCTCGACTGAGCCAACTTGCCTTACTCTCAGTGTCGATGCCGATGAGCCGAGGTGTCCCTCTTCAAGAAATATATAATTGTCCAGAATGCCGGCCATTTTTACCGCTACTGAAAGGCCTTAGGAAGAGGTTAATATAAAGATCCTTAACCCACTACACACTCCTCAGCTCTCGCTGATAGCACACAATTGCCTACGAGACCCCCCTATTGCTGTACATTGTGAACCTCCTTTCTCCATGCCTCAGTGGAGTACCAACTTAACATACTTATCGCAAATCGTCTTCGCGAGATACACCCCCTAGTCAAGACTCTGGTACTTCAACTGCGGGAGATATACATTGATTATCAGAGGCAACGGGGGATCTTCATAATCTTACCCGAACAAGTCCGAAATCGAGTCCACAGGCTTGCAGGACGGTTTCGTTGCTGGTAAGATCTATTAATGAACCGATGCACTAAATGCTACACAGTAGGGCCTACCGCACTCCCGCAGATTGTAATCCCCGAATGTTTCTGACCTGGACCTCGTCGGGAGGTACATGAGCGGGGCAGCTTTTGAAAATGTTTGCATTCCCATATTCAATGCTAGCTCATCATACCAATGGTGAATCTTTCACAACCATAGCCTAGAGGATGCGTGATTGACCTGGCACATGGAGTGGTCGACGGGTTGCTCACGTTGCCGTGCCAACGGATTCGTTGACAGCTGAACAGCAGAACAAGGAAAATCTCCGGGGTCTCCAGCACCGACCTGGTCAGCACAAACACAGTGTTTCATCAAATTAAGAGGGATTGTCATCATTACCTCCAGCGCTTATACGCTTAAACATTACGGGATTGTAAATTGCCCTAACAACATCACGACTATGGCAAGGGTCAACACAGCCAACCCGCTGGTCAAAAGCACACCTCTCAAAGAGACGGTCGCACGCACCATAGGGACATCCCACAACAATCCACTGTCCAGAGAGCCATGTCTCAATGCCAGAAATACAGCCAAGTACAATTTGCCAACCAGGCCGCCAAGCCAGTCGCGACGGCAGGCCAATAGCTCAAGTGGATCATTTGACATATTACCAGACAACGATTCCACATCGGAAAGTGAATATGGACAGCACAGGCCTACCGGAAAGCTGAACAAACAAAGAACACTGGGACTTGCACGTGTGAACTCGTTACTTCTACCAGCAAAGCGGAGACCACGTCCAGCCATCCGAAGGGAGACCGAAGATTTTGACAAGGAAAACGACATACCAGAATATGTCACGGATGGATATCAAACTCTGGACTTAACCCCAACAAGGCCAACTGCCCAACAGCCTCCTACCAGAAGCAGGATGGATTATACAGCCGCGACACAGCCAGCGGCTGAAGAAGAAGAAGAAGA